CCCAGTGGCTCCCGCCTCCTCCGCCTCCTTTGTCCCCGCCGCGCTCCGCCTCCCGCACAGGCCGCCCCCCACCCCCCCGTGCGAGGAGCCCGCGCCCGGAGGTGTTGCGCCCTTCCCCGCTCCCCGAGCGGCTGCTCTCTGCAGCCGCCCGGCCACAGGGCGGGGTGATGCCGGCAGAGGGAGACTCTCAGCTAAGCCTTGGTATGAAATGAGGGTATTGGGAGCTCAACATTGATTGTCTTTGCTGAAACACCAGGAGAAGATGCAGATAACGATGCCCATAAGTCTTCTTGGTATTGCTGGCTGGAGGGCGCCAGTGGGTGAGTGAGAACTGGGTCATGAAAGTGGAAGTGTTTATTCAGAGGTAAGCAGGCATCCAGCGCTGACGCCCAGCCCAAAAGTCTGTTATGACTCCCTGAGGACGACTTGGGTTTTGCATATGCTCCCATCAGTTAGCTGCCCCAAAAATGATTGGGGTGCAGGTATTGTAGCCGTGTTGGTCTAAGGACCTAGGCAGACAAAGTCCTTTGGGTAAATCCGATATCTTTTATTGGATCAATTCAAATGGTTGGATAAATTCTTCTTTGCAAGCTTCCTGGTATAAGCTGTGGAGCGCATACCAACTGCAGATGCTTCCTCAGCCCAATGGAGGGTATTTATACCCAAAATCTTGCAAGGAAGAGTTTTTCCAGCTATTTGAGTTGGACAAATAAAAGATGCCACATTTACCTAAATAATCTTGTCTGTCCAAAAGTGATCTTGTATTTTGGGGGTGTGGGTTGTAGCTGTGTTAGTCTAAGGACATAGGCAGACAAGATTCTTTGGGTGACTCTGATATCTTTTATTAGACCAACTTGAGTTAGACTAATAAAAGATTACGCCAACTTATTAGACTTAAGTTGGTCTAATAAAAGATATCAGATTCACCCAAAGAACCTTGTCTGCATCTTGTGTTTGGAACACTTGTACACTTATTGATTGTACATTGTACAATGGTTGAAATATTTGTACAAATAGGATAATTGTTGTACACCTGGCAACACTGGCAGGGAACCTGCCAGCATGGGGGGGCCTTGTGTCCCCCAGGGGTGTGATCAGGCCCCTCCTCTGCTGCCAGCCCAGACACAAGGGCGGGGGGTGATGCTGGCGGAGGGAGACTCCCTGCAGGCCAGCATTGCCAGGTCTTCAATATGAAATTGTACAAGGAACCCCTGCTTAATGCTGTTTCACTTAGCGCTGTTTTGCTATAATGCTCATTTGAAGTTGATACCCGATTCCACTTAGTGCTCAGCAAGTTTCGTTGCCAGTGAGTGAGTGTGAACTGGATCATCAGAGTTGAGGCATTTCTTTAGTTCGAGGCAAGCAGTCATAAGAAAGTGCTGACAGCAAACCCAAAGTTAAGAGTTAAGTCGCCCTAAGAATGACTTGGGTTTTGCATATACTGCATTAAATAGCTGCCTGGAATTATTGTACATTTTGAACACTTTACTGTTAGGACATTGTATACGGGTTGAAATTATTGTATAAATACTGTAATTATCGTACACCTGGCAACACTGCCACAGGCAAAGGGCGGGGAACTGCTCAAGGTAAAGCTGTGTGTGGGGGAGGAGGGCAGGCAGCAATTCCTCTCCCTCCTGTTTGGGCTCTGAGGAACCCAGGAAGCCGCCCCTGGCTCCGTTCTGAAAGACGCTGTCCGTTTCACATAACTTG